GTTATATTCCAAACAGCTGCTACTTTGATTTTCTTGCCTTTCAGCTGAAAGGAATGTGAAAGCTCAGGCAAAAGTAGCTCTGAATTTGGTTTCCTTTGTTTCACACAGTTCTGAGGTTTTACAGTGGTAGAATAAAGCAGCAGTACAGTAATTTCTACATGCTTCTAAGGCAAATAACCCTTCCTAGAGTGAAATCACCAACACACCCTAGCGTCTGCTGAGATAAGAGTTTTATTTTTCAAAGCTCAATCCACTCAAGTTACTGCTTTTAAAGATTCTTTCTGTTTCAGCTACCATATTTCAGGGTCTGCTCTAATTGTGGATGTCCCTTTTGTGCTCTTCTAACAATTTAAAGATGAACAGTCTTGTATGGCTTTCCTTGGGCCATTTTGTTACTCCAGTTTACTTGTTGCTTTTGTTCATGTAATGACAGGACAAGGGGGAATGGATTCAAACTGAAAGAAAGTAGGTTTAGATTACATATTAGGAAAAAATCTTTATTGTTGCCCAGGGAAGCTGAGGATGTCCCATCCCTTGAAGTGTTCAAGGCCAGGCTGGATGGAGTTATGGGGAAGCTGGTCCAGTGGAAAGTGTCCCTACCCATGGTATTGATGCTGGAACTACAAAACCAAACCATTCTATGATTCTGTGAATTTTAGTGGTACTCTAGCAAGATGCTGGGTAATCTGATGAGAGGCATGCAGCCATTGTAGTTTGTCCAGAGTTTATTGTGTGCTGTATGTTTCTGGCTGGGTGAGAAGGCTAAATCTTGAAATCCTTTGCCCACAGTTCTAGGTTTCTTTTCTGCATGTTGGCCTTACTGTACAATATTTAAGAGTAATTTCTGAGCACACATTGTAAAAACTAATGAGCAAATTGTGAAAGCAGAAGTGAGAGAGCTGCTCCATGATAACAGCAGACAGACTTAGACAGACTTGGTTATTAACAGATGGGAACATTCTAAACTCACTGTGTGTATATATATACACTTATACATGAGGGATAAACCCCAACATTTGTCTTACAGACCTCACTGCAAATTAATTACGGCCTGTTTAGTTGCACTTCTGCTGACTCCAAGAGCTCTAACCCACAAAGCAGGATAAGATCTTGAGGTGGATGTGTAAGTTGTGAAACTTGATTTTCATTTCAATGACTCAACTACTGGCTAGTGAAGGCATTACTTTCTTTGGCTCTGATGAGTTTTGTTAGTGCCAAAAAACTGTCTCCACCTCAAGGAAAATTTAAGGAGAATCTTGAAGCCATTCCAGGATCTGCCTTGAGAACAGCTTTGGTTCAAACCAGAACTATTCAGGTAATGTCAGTAATACAAGGATGGCTGATTTACTGAAGCAGTAATGTGGTAAAACTTTGGGCCTATTTAGTCACGATAGAAATGAACAAAGCTATAGAGCTTCTGTGTGTTGAAGGCAAAACCAAAAACTTCCCCACAATTTTCTCAGAAGTCATGGAAAAGAGTCACAGAATGGATAGAAGAGAAGCATTCTGCAAAGAAATCCACAGTGAGCTGGGGTGGCGCAGGAGGACAAAGAGGCTCCTGGCATACATTCCTGCTTAGGTGTGGCAGTGACAGTCACATAACTGCCAAGATCTCCTCTGCAACTGCTTAAGCAGCAGTTGCACTTGCAAAGATGTGAAGAAGTGATTATGATGTGGAACTGGTGGAAGATTTTCTAGCTTTTTTAAAAAAGGAAAATTAATCCTTGATTTTTTTTTTTTTAATTTTAAACCAGATTCTAATTGCAAAAGCTGTCTCTTGAGAGAACTGGTATGTTCATGCTTTTCACTTAAAATGTCAATTTGAGATCTATTGCTCAGTAGGAATATGCTGTGAGTGCAGATGGACGCACCTGATCAAATATGAACTCTTTCCTTCTTTCATGTGGAAATGCTACACAAACAAATCTCAATACACGATAATCTGTTTTAGGTTACTGCCATGTGTCCAAAAATAGGTCTGATGTGCCTTTGCAGGAGTAATGCTAAAAGCACTGTTATGACTGTCTCTTCTTATGCTTCTGTTGCTACCTTGTCCTCTCTAAGAAGAGAGAGCTTTGTACAAGAGGGCATTAATGGATGGGATTTACTGGGGTATGTAGCCAATTTTGATTTGACTTTAAACTTGGATAATAAGCAAATCAACCACCCCCAGATTTAAGATTTTCCAGAATGAGTATCTTGGTGGCCACGACTTCTGTTGTTGTGGTAAAGTACGTGTGTTCAGACTGCAGGAGGCATAGAACTGGTTTGTGTTTCCAATGATTTGTAGCTTTTGGTGATGCAGCAAGTTGTAGCAAGATTTAACAAATTATAAACAGTCCTTCTGACATAAATTTGTGTTTCTTGCTTGCTTTCCACAATAACCTATATTAAACTAGAAGTCAAAGGAGCCCCATGGAGAACTTTGGTGGGATTACCAAGAAGTCCTTGAATTAACTCCTGTGACACAGTCACTGCTTATAACATCAGCGACTGATGCATTGGGAGAGGAGCTGCACCTTTCAGGGCCAGCTGGAACATCTTACTGTGTTGTTCTGAAGTTCACACTGGACAGTTTCTCCTGAATATTGAATGACACAAACCTCTGTCTGGTCTCTTGGTGCTGACTGATTTCTCAGCAATGAAGTCTTGATAGAAGCACAGGCATTGGTCCAGAGATCTGAGACCTCAGACGCCTGCAGCTGGATGCAATGACATGGTTTTTTCTCAATTATATGTGAACATGTACACATGTTCAGTACACAGTACACTCAGACAACTGATGGAGCAATTGAGGTAACAGGTTGGGTTGTAAAAATACTGAGGAAAATAGCTCTACAGTGGAAGAAGAGCAGAAATTTGCAAAATTACTGATTTCTGACTGGAATCGTACTAATGTTTCACGATTGATTCATTCACGTCTTTCTTAAAAAAGTCTAGGAAAGATCCTCTGCTCTGTGAAAAATGCATACTTTGCTCCTGAATCACAATTTGGCAGTACTGATTGTTACGTTCTTTCAGAAGTGTACTTTCAGTTCATAGTGATTAGTTTCTCTAAAATGAGTGCCAGAGAGTACTTTAGGGAGTTACTTTAAAAGTGTGGTCATGACACATATCAGAATATGGACATAGTGATGTGTGCCACTTCAACAAATAACCATTTTATCTAGTATTTATCAAATATTCCAGACACCCACTATATAAGTTGTTACACTTTGAGACTGATGGCATGTTCCCTATTCTCTTGCTACATGGTGGAGAGCTTTCCTGATCATTGCTGGCTACTGGGAGACTCTTCTTTTTCTGACTCCCCCCACTCACCAACTTTCAAACTTTGTGCAGCTTAATTTGAAGCATTGCTGTTATGCTCTAGTTAGATATTGTGAAGAAACATATTGGGCAGATAAACACTTAGAAAAATCTTTGTTTTTAAATTTCTATGACCTGTGAAGTTTCCCCAGTAGAGCCAGTCACCTTAACATCAAACTTGACTCAAAACCAGTGAAGGCAAAAGCAGATTAAAAAGTATTTTGTGCAGCTAAAATAGAGTTTGCAAAGGCTTACAAACACACAGTAACAGGAATAGAAGTTTACTCCTTTAGCTCATAAAGGGTTTTCTCCCCATTTATATTATCAGATAAGCTGGTAAACATTTCACAGCTTTCCTCCCTGAGAGCTTCATTGCTCAAGCCAGCCCTTCATCCTGATACTGAAAACATGGAAGAAGCAGTATGAAAATCCTTTCTTTCCTCGAATTAGTGTTGAAACCAAGAGGGAAGAAAACCCTTCTACTACAAAAAAGTCCAAGCTTCCCACTTGGAACAGAGTAATGTTTCTGTGAGTCTGGATCACAGTTCTTAGCTACCATTTAAGAAGTTAAAGCATGCATTCCCACATTTTTTCAAACTCATAATCAGCTTGACAGTCCTTTCAAACTCATTGGGAAATTGTTCAAACCTAGAGTTGAAGCTTCTTGTTACACTATATTTTTATTATTCCTATTAAATAGTATGTTTACTTCAACTAGAATGTAAATAAAGTTAATGAATGTAGATCTTGAACAAAAGCAGATATGGGGGTAAGCAATAACTGAATACCCTACAGTCATGTCTTTGAGGAGTGAATAAAAGTAAGCTTGTAGGAACCAAAATGAAGGAGATGAAGGCAAGCACAGGGGAAAAGCGTTCTGAAAACTTTGGACAAGGAAACAATTCCAGGGAAACTTCACCCTGGAAAATTCAGTTTCTGTTTGAATAAGTTTAGCTTTGCCACCAGATTAAACAGTGAGAACTGTATAGTTTCTACACAAACCTGGAGGAAGAAACTATTGTTTGAACCAAAAAAAGTGATATCCTGGCACAGTGGAAGGGATAGCTGACCAAACCAGAAAAAAGGTAAACACTTAGAATCATATAATCAAAGAATCATTTGACTTGGAAGGAATCTTAAAGATCATCTGTTTCCAAGTTCAGGTTACACGATGAAAAGCAAATAGAGCTCTGCTCTAAAAAGAGAGGGTGAGCAACTTCAGGTGGCAGCAGACACTCACATTGCCTGTTCTGGTGGATACCAGACAGAGGTGACAGTGCCTGGACTCACTTCATGAGTGGGGTGATGGATTGCCAGGGACTGGTTTCTCTTGTGTGACAGTTTCCCAGAGCAGTCATGATTAAGCCTGGCATGCCCTGGGTGCAAGGGGGTGCACGGGTACAATCTGTTTCTTTGAATGCATGAAATGTCTCCGCTTCCACCAGGCTGCCGAAATCAGTTTTGTTCTGCAGCAAAGCCGGGCGCTGAGCTGCCCACAGGGCTCTCATGCTTTCTTTCCAAGGTCAGCCCAGCCAAGGCTTGCCATGAGCCCCGAGGGCAGCCTGACCGAAAATAGCGCTGAAGTCAGCTCCAGCCCAGGGGATCACAGCCTGAAGGGGAGCTAAACCCAGGAGCGACGGCCAAAGGGAGCGGGCTGATGCCCGAGAAAACGGGCTTAGCCAAGCTGCGGGAGATGCCTCGCAGGAGGTCATACAGGAGGCCACCGTGACGACCAGCTCGCCCCGTGCCAGGTCCTGCATGCCCTCGGGACTCGGCGGGGCTGCCGGCTCCCAGCTCCCGTTCACCCCCCCGACCCTTTCCGCCGGGCCGATCCGGGGGCGGACCCGGGCCTGTCCGGAGGCGGACCAGGGCCTGTCCGGAGGCGGTCCGGGGCGGTCTAGGGGCGGTCCGGGGCGGTCCAGGGCTGGTCTGGGGGCGGTGGCTGTGGCTCCGGCTCCCGGGCGAAGTGGGGAGTGCTGCCCGCCCGCCCTGCTAGTGGAGCGGGCAGGGGCAGCCGGCGGAGAGCGGGGGGAGGTGAGGAAGGGCGGTGGGTGCTGTGGGGACAGTGCTTCGCTCAGTCCCTGGGCTGGGCTGGGCTCCGCTCGACTTCCAGTACCGCCTGCGCGGCGGGGAGGGAGGCCGGGTGGGCTGAGGGGTGCAGGCTGGGCCCGGCTGGGCTTTTCCTTCCCCGCGTGCCTCCTGCCGCGCCGGGGCCCGTTTGCCTTCCTTGGCTGCGTGGGAGCGGGGCTGGGGGGAGCCCGGGCGATCGGGGTGCCTTGGCCAGGTGAGGTGCGGTGCTGACGGCTTCCAGAAAACCAACACCGACCCATGGGGTTGTTGCTTTCAGCTGTTTTGAGACCGCGTATGTTTCTGCGGGGTGTGTTGACACAGTCTCCCAATCTTTGTGACTGCTGGTTTCTCTGCTTTTCTGGCCCCAAATAGCTTCCGTGGAAGTAATTTTTTATTTGCTTTTGTGTCTGCTTCCTCGTTGTGTGTCACATTGTACAAGCTCAGGTAGGAAGTACGATGGACAAATGAAGGCTGTAGGAGTGCTAACGCTGCCACATTTTTTGAAGTACTTGTAACAGGAAGCGGGATAATGCTTGCCGTAAATCTTCTTGACCTGGTAAAGTTTTTGTAGTCAAAAACTATTTCTGTATTTATTGCATAACGATGATCAGACGGGCTCTTTATTAACTGCTTGTGTGACAAGAGCAAGATTTTGGGTGAAAGAGATGCCTGTGTCCAACCCAGGACTGAGCTGCTCCCAGACCTGTGCTGGTCTCAGCCTTGATGGTGCTTGGCAGCAGCCTGGGGAGCTTGGTAGGAGAGATCCATTAAAAGTTACTGGATCAAGGCTCTGGTGTGCTTCCAGCAGCAGCTCTTAGGTTTTTGGTGTTTTCTTTAGGGACTTGAGCAAGTTGCTGGATGTGTTTTGTTTTTCTTCTTCAGAGATGCAGCACTGTGCAGTTAATTGACATTTGTATGTGTTTAGATCCTTAAAAAACAGGCTAAAAGGTCTTGCACAAAAGTATTTTAGAATGCAGAATCCTTAATTCAGATATTTTAATTCACATTTTTGTGAGAAATGAGACACCTGTTACTTATTTTTTTGGTATTACTGGTTTCCTCTCTCCTCCTGAGATTAACACATTATTTTTTTAATACTTTACATCACTGTTTTTGATAAATATAATTTTGTCTGTATGAGCTATTCAGGTTCTTTTAAATGCCTCCTAACAGTACATTGAGAATGATACTGGAAACTTAATAACTTAATTTGGAGTTAAATAAAAAATGTATCACATTAAAATTCTTATTACTTCATATTGACAGGTATCAGGAGTTAAAATGACATAGAAAAGTATTCAAAGTATGGACTGTGAAATTCAACTTCATACTGAAAGAAGGTACTGTTTTCAATTTATTTGAATATTGATGAGGCTGCCTTTTTCTCTGGGGTTTGGATAAACTCATTGTCTCCAGTTTGATGTGGAATAGAATGAATGGGTAGCACTTCAGTGTTGTAGAGTCATCCAGTGATGGCCAGTTATGTACAGCTACAGATACTGTTTTTGTTTCCTTCCTGCTTTTCTTTGGTAAAAGTTGGGGCAGTTACCTGAACTTGAAGTACACTTTCTTCAAGTTCAGATTTAGAACAGTTAATACTGTCTCAAAGTTGAACTGGAATTTAGCTTGCAAAGACATAACTATTGCAGGCTTTGTTAATACTCTTTGATGGCATTTTGATGTAGCTTCACCAGAATGCCCTGGTTAATGGGTTTGTCTTAAAGATACAACTTTTCTGTAGTTTTGCAGTATGCAGGATTGTGTGGAAAGGAGACACAAGGACTAAAGTTTGTGGTCATTGTGTCAAAATCAGAATACCCTTATTATAATGCTAATTATTGTCTTGCCCTAAATTTAAGTATTTGTTTCCTTTTAGTCGTTGAACCTGTCTTACAAAGTTGCTTGGCAGATGTGTAACATGGTGTTGTTTTTGACAGAAACTTCTTTTCCAGAAGATACTTGCTAGAATTCTTGGTCAGTCCCTACTGCAAGTTTTGTTGCTCTTTCAAGTCATTACTCTAATGTACAGGGGCATGCTCTTGCTTTTACATTTAGGATGTCTGTAGCAAATTTAGTTTTGTATGTGTATGCTGTCCAAATGATATGTTTTGTAAAATGTTTTTTCCCTTTCTCTGCTTTTTACAGGTAAACTGAAACTCCAAAAATGATGACCTGCTCGTTGGCAAGTTACAGGAAAAGCACATACAAGGCAACTAAATAAGGACTGTGGTATGAGGGTTTTGCCAGATGAACTGTCCAAAAGAGCTATTTACCTGGAGGCTGTTATGTTAAATTATTGATCTCTGCACTGTGTGACCCTCACTAATTCCCCAGCACTTGTGCATATGAAATGCTTCAAAAGAAGAAACTGCTGTGGCTTATTTGCAACTGAAGTGAATTACATTGGATATGAAAGTAAGTCATGGCTTACTTTTTCATGGAATAACTTATCTGCTTCTTGCCATTTGTAGCTGGGTAGAAGGCAAATATTAACTAGGACCTGTGCAATAAATGTTTTGCAATGGACTGCTACATGTGAAACCAGCTTGCTTTAGAGTGAGAGGCAGCAGCATGCAAAACAATCAAAAGCTGAGGAAAGGCAAGGCCACTGAATGTGCAGATCTTAGCCTACAATGACTGCCAGAAGGGGAAGGATTTAATTGTTTGCCACCTGTTTGACAGTAGAAAGCTTAGGGAGATCTCTGATGGCACCTTACCAAAGAAATGTTGGTGCATCTGAGAGGGAAGCAGGACTTGGTTAAGGTTTAGAGTTTCATAGAAGCCACTTGTGGGCTATGAGAGCAGTAGGTGTGCATTCAGTCATGTCTTTGTTGGAGAAAATGGAAAAAAAGACCTGAGGTGTGAATTGAAACTACAATTCTTGGACACTTTTTTTTTTGTGTCTGACTGCAGCAATTCATATGAGCTGTGGTTTCCACAGACATTTCACTTTAGATGCCAATTTTAAGTGGCAGATGATAATGGAGTTACAGTATGCTTGTCCTTTTGCAAAGAACTGCAAGTTACTGCTCTTAAAAGTTGCCTCAGCTGTATAAGAACAGTTCAAAGAAGGAAACCTTGTGTGATTGTGACTCTTGTAAGCATTTGGAAAGAAGAGTAGCTTAATCAAGCTTGGTTTTTAAATTAGGCAGTATAGCTTAAATCACTATGCTAGCATAATTTGTCTTTGCTTGAGGGTTTTGGGGTATTTTTTTTTTTGTTTAACTATGCTGGTAAAAGAATATTACACTTAAGCAAGAGTTATTCCATTGGGATAGTTCTAGTTCCAGGAAAAGTTCTAGTAGAAGGCTGAAAACTGAACAGCTGTTTATGAAGGCCAAGAGCTGCTGTAGTTGAAATCTTCAGTGGCTGGGGCTAAATTACCAAATCCATGTTTTCCCTCCCCAGGATGACTAATGCTTCTTCTGATTTTTTTTTTTCTTAAGGAGTAATGCAGGGTGCAGAGGGCAGTGCAGCTTGAACAGTCTTACCACACCAATGGAAAAAACTTCCCGTTTGCAGCAAAATATGATATCTATATTTTTGTTCATTGGTCATCTCATTGTACTGATACCTCTCTTCAGTGCTGGTAAGTTACATACTTTGTTGAAATTACCATTTAAAAAAGAATATCTGCATGAGATGAGTTGTGTGTATTTAGTAGGAGTTACTGAGAGCAAGTAGTGAGTTTGGGGTTTGTTTTTGCTTTAGCATGTTGACAGTAGCTGGATGTCTCTGTTGGGTTCCAGTTTTACTGGGGATGTCATGGACAAATGGAGATTTTTTTTTTTTTTTTAGTCTAGGCACATAAATTTAGGGCTCGGAGGCTTTGATTAGCCTCTCCATGCTTCTTATGAAGAAATCCCAAAGTGATTTGCTTCCTTGACTTAAGGTGAACTATAGAGTGCCTTCTTCATGAGACATTCTGTATGTCTAATCCTGAAAGCAGTAAGGCCAAGTTTTCTTTACAATTAAATTAGTAGTATTTTTAATGATAGGTGTAATATTTCGTAAAGTTTAGAACTACATAAGTTAATTATGCTTGTCTTGCTACTCTTGCCATAAGCAGTCTAATACTAATGTGTCTTGAATTAGATTGAACTATATGGAGACCTATTTGGAAGTCTTTAAATGGGAAGGCAGTGATATTAGAAAGATTAGTGAAGATTTTATTTATTTTGAAATTGAATATGTTAACTTTGTATTCATACAGCCATTCAGCAAGATTTGTAAAATCAGTTCAACCAGATGTTTTGCAGTTTCATAAAAATTCAGCATTGGACATAAAATCACAGAATGTTTTGGAATGGAAGGGTCCTTAAAGATGATCAGTCACTGATCCAGCCCCCCTGCCATGAGCAGGGATACCTCTCACTAGACCAGGTTGCTCAAAGTCTCATTCAGCCTGGCCTTGAACATTTCCAGGGATGGGGCATCCACAGCTTCTGTGGACAAATGTGTGCAGAAGCTTGAAAGTTTTACAATCTGCTTTATAGCCAAATGGTCAGCTCTGTTTGTGCTACAGTAGTATTCTCCAGTAAGTTTTTATTTGCATATTTGAGCTCTTGATAGATTTTTGCAATATCTGTCCTTTTTTCTCTGTTTTTTTTTGGCTGATGTTGAAAGAAATGCTTCCTAAGCTGCATGATTGTGTCCTGTCAACTTGTTACACAGGCATAGTTATCAAAACTATGTTTGCATTGGCCTTTTCTGTGATGTTCTGAATAATGGGCCTTCTGGTTAAAGGTGCAAATGTAGGAAGGAAGTAATACATTATAGTCAAGACTTCTTAATCTAAATACTTTTTCTCTCCAAGTTTTTTTTTCCCTGATTTGTTTTTGGCTCCACAGTCCTAGTGGCAGAATACTGTCAGGAGCTCTGCACTGCTGCTGTTTGCACTGTGCTTTACATAGATAGTATTTACTTTAAGAATGGCAATTCTGCAAAAGTACTAGTGAGTTAAATAACAAGAACATGACAGGTAAGTTGGGAAGCTTGTAGTTGCCTTATGAATCCCATGGATCTTCTTATACCCTGATTTGCAATGAGGCTGTTTGGCTTGCATGTGCTTGTTGCTGGTTACCCTAACAGAGGGAAGTTGGGCCTTAAGCTTGTAAAATATGTGATCATGTTCACAACCAGAAGGTGGTAACAAACAAAAAATAATAGCCTTGTGATGTTTTAATAGTAAGTTGTTACAGAAACGTTTTCTAATTCTGTGTAACTTGGAATGGCAAAGTATAGAAATTAAAAACGTTGATAATTTTTCTTTTTTTTTTTTTTTTTTTTAACAGAAGGATGTGTTATTTGTGATTACTTTGTGCTTGTTGGAGAGCCTATAGCTATTACTTGCCCAATAATTACATTGCCAGTGCTTCACTCTGAATACAATTTGACATGGTATAAAAATGGTAGTGCTACAGCAGTGACCACGGAGAGAGATGCCAGGATCCACCAGCGAGAGGGCTTGCTTTGGTTTATTCCTGCTATGCTGGAAGATTCTGGACTTTATGAATGCAATATAAGGTAAGGAAGGAAACAAGGATTGCTAGTGCTTGCAAGTGTGGTAATTAATTTGTGAAACTTGAGTGTACAAATCTTCTTGTTTTAGGTAAAACACTTAGATCAGTTGAAAGCACTATTTTCACCATGCTTTTTGTCTCTGCGTGATGCCTGTGTTTCTCTGCTGTTCCATGCATTTAGTACTACAAAAGTGGTTCATACAGAAGACTCTATTTATCGTAAAGTATGACAATACTAAAAATGGTCTGTGGGGGTGGTTGGTTGCTTTGCTTGTTTTGGATGAAGTGTAAGGTCACAGGAAAATGCCTTAACCTCTTTGGCTTTTCCTGTGTTCGAATTGCTGTTTGATGCTGACAGATCAGAAGAGCACTGGTTTCTTTGTAGGACAAGGCTAAACGTAAGAAAGTTCTAAGAGGAGCAAACAGTGCATTTTATCACCGCACAGACTTTCTGGAGAGCTCAGCAACTTTTTGGCAGTCTTACTAGAAATCCACAGGTTAAAGGGCTGAAAACAGTTTTACACTGTTTTACAATTTATTTTAAAATATTGCCATTACTGGTCAAAAATGAGAATACATAAAAAGAGCAAAGCAGTGTGCTAGACAGCTTTAGAGACTGAAAATAATGTGTCTCTACTACTGCTCAAATGATCTGAGTGCACAGAGAACTAAAAAAGAATAGATTCTTTGAAAAGTATCTATATGTACCTTTTTTAGTACTTTAAAGCTCTGGCTAGATCAACCTAGCCAAGCACTGGACTTCACTACTTAGGATGTCAAATCTTTTTTACAATGGTTGAAATTCACTGTGTGCTGAACAGGAAATTAAGTTTGGGAAGTCATACATAAAATGTTCCTTTCCTCATGGTGTTGCCACAACACACTGAGAATAGCCAATACAGACTTTTCAGGTGGCCCTAAATTTGATTTACTAGTGTGTAGTTATGTGTACTGGTGTGCATAGAGGTGTGCTGGAGAGGTTTGGGTTGTGAATGATCAGCGAAAACTTCCAATGTCGCAGGCACATTCCTTCACTGGAGTTTTCCATGAAGCCAGAATTGGAAGTCAGAAGACATGTAATCCTTTCAAAGCTACCCAGCTGCATAATTTTAATTTAGCCTTTCCTGCTATGGTTTTAGTTACTTGAGGTATGAGATGTGCTCCTGTGGGCACCTCACATCCTTGGCTTACATAATATCAGCAGAACAAAAAACTTGCTAAAGTTCAGTTGTATTAAACTGTAAGCAGCATTTTGTGCATCAGACACTTAAGCCTTAAGTGCAGCTCTGAGAAGTTCTGACGTCCTCTCTCATGTGTCCAGAGCAAATTCCATTTCTGCTTGCAACACAAACTCGGAGCTTATTCCTGTCTCTTCACCTGGAACAGGGGCTGAGAGGTTGAGGATGTTGTTTACAAACTAAGGGAATGCAGCAGAGGTGTTATGGAGGCAAGGGTGGTGGAGATGCTGAAGTCTCTCTCCCTGACTTGCTGGAAATAATGCACCATTAATTACCTGACTTGTCTGCTGTTCTGATTACAGGAGCCTTAACCACTCAAACAAAAAAACTATAAACTTAACAGTTTTTAAGAATGATAATGGATTGTGTTTTAATGGAAAAATGAAATTTGAACAAAAAGTGACAAGCACGAATACTGGAAAGATTATATGCCCTGATCTGGAACAATTTAAAAATGAAGACAATAATCAGCCTGAAGTACATTGGTATAAGGTACTGAGCATATGTATTTCATATATTCAAGATACAAAACGTATTATTTAAAATGTCTTATGAAGTAACTGTGAAAATCAGGGAAGGTGTGTTTTCTCTACAGTTTGAGTATGGCAGGAGTGTGAATAAGATTTGTGAAATTCTGATTTATCCTTTGATAATTTTATGTAGATAATAAGTTTTAAAACTTGTATGTTTCTGTAAATAGAAGGCTTTGCATAATTATTTCAGTTTCTCAGAATATTAGGCATTGTTAACTATGCTGTGGTATTCTTGTGCTTCTTACTTTGGTTCTGTGAAAATGCTCTGTAGCCTGTGCAAGCTTGAAAACATGTATTTTATCTGTTTTAAGGTAAAAATCTAAACAGTTCAACTCCTAATTCTGGTGCTGGTATTAAAAGCAGCTACATGGGCCTACACACATTAAATAGTCTTGGTGCAGCACCTATACATCTTTTGAGGTGAAGAGATTCTCCACTGCTTTTAGGTCAAGGAAGAGAAGGAAGCTTTTTTCTCAGAATTTGCATTACCACAGAAATGGGGATACACCCAAACAGCACGAGGCACTGCTACAGCAGCTCTTTCATCACAGAGAAGTCAGGGTGGAGGCATGTGTTCTCATAAACTCTGCTGCATGTGTAATAACTTCTACTACACCTGAGATAGAAAGCTCTCAAGCTGTTAATGTAGGCTGTGAACTAAAGCACAGTGTTTGAAAACTTCAAGAGTTGGCTGCAGTTATTTTTTTTTAAAGTGCAAGTGGAGCAAGATGTTATCAGACTTTGTTAGACTGTAGTAATGCTTAGAAAAGAATCCACATCGTGGCTTTCAAAGAAGTCAGTGTTTGACGAATATTCTAATCATCAGTAGAGTACAGTAACAGATTTGTCAGATTTTTTTAGTTCCCTTTAAGTCACAGATGCCTTTGGTGTGTTTAGGAGTGTAAACCTGGATTTCTTGAAGACAAGCGACTTCTTTTGGCAGAGGGTGAAAATGCTGTCTTGATTCGTAATGTAACTGTGCAAGACAGAGGAAACTACACGTGCCGTATGGTGTACACATATATGGGAAAACAATTTAATGTTTCAAGAACCATAAGTCTAGAGGTTAAAGGTGAGTGCCTGGGGTTATTCTCTTTTTGTCTCTGCTGTAAACGTATGTATGCAGACATAAGATATTTGGCATGTTACTTTTCAGCTCTGTGAAATTAGAGTTGTAAGTCTTCTTTAATTTATTCCTGAACATAAAATTGAAAGGCAATGTGGCATGTTGCAGCCCTTGAGCATTGCTTTTGAGGAAGAATTGTCATGGGGAAATGAGTAATGCGGGGTTAGGAATGTGAATGGGAAGAAAACAGTGGTTCCTGGGGTGGAGGTATTGCTTTTGCCAAAACAAATAGTGCACCATTAAAGTAAATAAACTTAAAAATAGAAGATTTTTTTTTCTGAGACTATCACAGCAAATGATCTGCTTGAAGCCCTGTTGGTGAATTTGCTTCTCTGTTGATGGGAATGGAGATGTGATAAGCTGTATCAATGACAAAAAAAGTTAATAAATCTTCCTCTGGAATGGGTTGGCTTACTGTTGGCACTTGGTTGTGCTTTTCTGCTGTCTCACTCTGCCACTAGTGTATTTTATTGCACTGACTATTGTGATTATGTCTTTGTGGGCCATGTTGCTGGTGACCTGACTAGTAACATGATAATAGTCCTGTCAGAATAGTTGTCTAGAGACAGCAGTCCATCTTTTTAGGTTAAACCAAAATTCTGACCTTATATAGGTGATGTAAGAACAGTGGGTTGTTGGCAACTAATCTATACATCATGCAGAATGGCACAATTCCAGGACAGTTTAAGTACATGTTTGTTTAAACTTTTAGTTAAAACAATACTCACTTTGTGTAAGTGGTCATTGATACAACCCTTTTTTTCTTCCTTATCAGTCTCTGGAAAAGTTAACTGCGTTTTTTGGTTTTGTCTTTGTTTGTTGGTTTTGTGCTACTTTCATGTCTGCTGCCAGTAAATTTGAGATTTTTTAAAAGCATTTTAAGGGTTTTTTTGTTAACTTGGAAGCTAAAATAGAATAACTTGGAGAGAGTAGAGCAAATATCTTATGAGAAATTTCTGTTGTAAATTTGAAACTTTTAGTAAGTATGGCAGTACAATAATACCAAACAATAAATCCACTGTAAAACCAAAACTATTGTCACTTGAACTAAGTTGTGGATCTTTTCCTGCCTGAAGGTTTTATTTTTCTTTGGTTAGAAAAACCACTGCAGATGCAACCAGAGTTTATTTATCCAAGGAACAATACAATTGAAGTAGAACTTGGTAAGTAGTGAATATTTAAGAGATCATTAACTTTAATGAAAAAAATAAGCTCCTCGTCTTTTTGAAAAGATGTGTGAACAGTTCCACAGACTTCAGCAAGACTGGGAGGTAACATATGTGGATGGAGAATATCTGGAAGACAGAGGGTAGATAATAGAATGTGATTCCCACAAATAATTTGTGAGGGGAAGTAACTGTGCCTAAGATTGGAGTCTCTTGACCAGCAGTGTCGTGCAGGATGCATTTATTTATTTTCTGTTATTTCCATCTGTCCTTTTTACCATTTCTCCGTGTTTGTGTCTTGATGCATCCTCAGTATCTGTGGAAATATGATTTATGTACATGTAGCATGTTAGCATAGTTAGCAGTCGACCTGTTCAGTAGCTCTTTCTCTTCCTATATGTTTCCTGTCTCCCTTCCCTCGCCACAACCTGGATTTTATTCCTTGTTTTAGGGCAATACAGATTTTGGATACTGATGTTTTGTGAAACAGTGAGCTGCTAGTTGATGCATATCCCAGGTACTGTTTATCTTGGAAATTTCTTAAATAAGAGATTCTGGGTATAAAGAATGACTTCTTCAACAGAGAGGACAGCTGGGCAGTGCAGCAGGCTGCCCAGAAAAGTTGTGATGTCTGTCTTTAGAGGTTTTAGAATCTGACTGAATAAGTCTTTGAGCAGCCTGATCTGACTTCAGAATCAGGCCATACTTTGAGCAGGAAATTGGACTGAAGACCTCTCTTTCAACCTCAATTGTTCTGTAATTCTCTGGGCAAAGTATATGCTATTCCAGTCTTTTCCCAAGCAAAGTTACATGTGTTTAAAGTGCACCACATATCAGACGCTTGTGTTCTACTGACAAAGTCCAGAAGAATGAGATTGGAGCTGTTTAGACTGTATTTTTAAAAATAATTTTGTACCAAAGGGGGTGGTTTCAAACAAAATATTTGATTTAAAAGGGCATTAACTGATTTTGGAGAAGCGTGATTGGCTGTTTACTAAGAGTTTCTTAGTACAGGAAACTGTTTTGTAATCTTTTGAGGAATTAGATCATTAGAGAGGCTCTGAGCAAAGGTTGCATTTGTCCCATTATTTTTATGTGCATCACCCTCATGGAATTTCACATAACACATCTACTGTGAGCTTGTAAATTGTGTGCAGTAGGTGATGTTTTCTCCTATTAATGCTTCATGGTTTTTTGGTATCATGTGAAACATTTTTGTCCGTGCCAAATTCTGACTTTCAGTATATATGGTATTAAATTGGATAGCACTGAAACACTAGTGGGTTTTGTGTGTGTGTTTAGGGGTTTTAGTGTTTTTTTTTATTCTTTTCTTTTCTTTTCTTTTCTTTTCGGCCTCAATAGCTTGTGAAAGATAACTTACTCTGAAGTTGCCAGGTTCTGGTGACGATGGGTAGATTTTGACCAGAATTGTGAATGTGCTTTAATAGAAATGATGTTCTTCCAAAGTCCAGAAGGCTTTGTTTTAAACAGTGAGAATATTCAGGATCTGATACAAAAAGTATTATTTTAAAAGCTTACAGTCCTGTGGTCTTCAGATGGTTATTTAATTCTGTTGAAATAATCTAGAATCACTCAGCAGCCCCTTCTTTTCTGGTAATTACATCTTCTCTGTCTTCATTACAAGAAATACATGCCTGAAAAACCTTAGGTTCTTTCTCTATTAAGGAAATTTGTTCACCAGATTTTGGAAAAAACAGGGAGACTTTCCATAGTAATTATTTTACCTCACATAACCCTAATTTTTGTGTGAAAACTTGACTTTTTCTTTGTAACTGTAACTCTGGAAAAAATGAAGTAATGTTACAGTCGGACTTCCGCCCGTACGTATCTCCTGCCCATGAAAGTGTCATGTAAGTCTCATCCCCAGTTTTGACTGGTAGTTATCTAATTTAATTCAGAAAAGTTCTTACTGATGCAGCCTCTACTCAGGAGGAGTCTGACCTGCAGGCTCTTAAATTTACTGAAGGCAGTGTTAGGGTTTTTTTCAATCCTTGATAGTATTTTCTGGGTAATTTATTAGTCCAGGGGCTGGCTGTGACTCAGCCTAAGTCATTAAGACTGTGTTATAGGACAACTTATTTAGACTCCTTATTGTAGAATTTGGTCCATATTTGTTATGACTTGGGCACAACATTAATTCAAAGTTGTGCTGGTGTGTTGTTAGGTGCTTTGGACCAACTAGGATGAGCAAACCTTGATTGCCTTACAGACATTAGGGTAATAGCCACAGGTGAGACTAAAAGGAGACTCCAGCCACAAAGTGGGTTTATTGTGACTACTGAGATCTACAAGTGATTCCCTATTTCAGGGACACATGGGGGGACACTTAAAGGAATTTGATGAGATTTGGTTTTGTTTGTTTTAAAATGACGTTGCCATTCAAATATTCAATATTCTCTGTCCAGTACCTTCAGTGGGGTACTGGGGGAAAAAATAAAACCTCCTACTGCATGTCTGGCTGTGGGGCAGAATCTCTAAGCAGCTGCATGAACACTTGTATGGAAACAGCTATATGATTTTTGAATGAAAAATGACAGAAGGTGGTGTAGAAACTTAACAGTCCATTCATGAATGTGTGGGCATGGAATGCTTGAGAGGTTTTTTTTTTTTGAATAATTGTGCAATGCACTAAACAACACATTAATTGTTGTGGTAGAAGAATATGAGGGAAGAGATCAGGGAGCATCTCTGATTTCTGTGCGAACTCTTGTTCAATAAGTGCTTTCTATGTGAGCTAAAGGTTTATTCCATGCTTTTGTTAGAGACCATCCCTTGATGGAAGCATCTAGATCTGATGCGGTTCTAGGAAATGAAAGACTAAGATCTTTACATAGGCCAGCTGAGAGAGCCCACCTTCTCCTATCAAATCATTACTTCCATGGGTAAAATACAGAAGGAAAGGAATCCAAGAAAGCTGCTTACCTTCCTGTACATGGAGCTCACTGAGGTACATTGGCAATAAATACATTTTTCAAATTGCCTTGCTTAATACTGAGGTGTTCTGTAAGATGTGGACTCTTGGTGGCAAAAAGGAGCTGAGTGACAGGTGAGCTTGCTCTGGAAGTCAAGTGTGATAATATTCAGAAACCATCCCAGTGGACAGTGCTGGCCAAAAGATCCTGATTTGGAGTAAAGATATGCATGGTCACTAAGAATGGGATTCATCTCCCAGATGTAGGTTGTCTGCACATGAGTATGAGCATATGATCCAAGGTCCTTAACTCAGGCCAGTATCAACAGGAGCTCAATTCACTTGCGTACACCAGTAGGCAACTGCCACCAGTGCTGTTTTGGTGGTCTGGCTACTCTAGCAGTGTGGTTTTCTTGAAGATCTGGAGCCCTGTCTGACAACTCCATATGGATACCTTGGATGCTTGAGAGCATCTCAGATGTCACCACAGGTGTACATGCAACTGACTCGAGCCCTGGAGATCTTTCAGTGGAGTCTGGACAGTCATTCAGTTAAGGTATCTACTTCAATGTGTGTAGACTCCAGCAGAGATGAGCTCTGTTACTAGCTTAGACACCTAGCTTGTATGTAGATGTGAACATTTGGACACCTACATTTAGGGTGGAATTTATACCCAGATTGTAGACATCCAAATTTGAATTACAAATGGATGAGTTTTAAGGACTTCGCTTTTCATAAGGTAAGTAGGTTTCTTTTATATCCCTCCTTTTCCCAGCTGTTCCCTCATCACTTGATTCTGCTCCTATTACAAGACCTTCAGTTTCTGTGTTTACATTTGTTTTTTTGTAGGCTCTCATGTAGTTATGGAGTGTAACATATCAAGTGGCATAAATGGCTTGATTCCATTCTGGCAAGTTAATGATGAGGATGTTGATGTCTTTGATAAAACCTACAGGGAACAGTTTTATGAGTAAGTATCCTTATATATTGAATTTGTAGTGCATATGTAGGTGAAGTAATCTGCAGTACTGTACAGTGAATTCATTATAAAGTAGACACTAGTCATTGAAAGGCTGATTTGAAGTCTGTATCAAACACAAGTATGTTCTTATTGCTTGGTTTTAAATGAATAACATTTCATTATAAATACTGTGTCTGATACAAATAGAATGAAGCAATCATGTAGATTTTTATAATACTATTGTGAAATACTATTTTGTAATGCTTAGTTATGCATTTTTTCTTATGTGATTTTTTTTTTCAACAGTACGTTAAAGCCTGTCCTTTATCATTAATATGGGAAAGATAGATTGTTCCAAAATAAAAAGTCACCCAGCTTATTTTCATTTGTGAAAAGGGTCCTTTTTAAAGTACAGACACAGCTGCTAATCCTCAGGAACACAAGGCAGAAACTCTTGTTGCAGGACATTTAGGTTCCAGTGTTTGACTACCCTGAAGTAAAAAAGTGTTCAGGTGGAATTTCAGATGGGAAAGTCATTCAGTTTGTGTTCATAGGCTCTTGTCCAGTCAGTGGGCACTACTGAAAGGAACCTGGCTCCCTCTTCTCCACTCCTTCCTCCCATCAGGTATTAACACACATTGATGAGATCCATCCCCTGCCCCCGAGCCTTCTCTTTCCCAGCCTGAGCAGTCCCTGCTCTCTTGTATGATGGATGCTCCAATTCCTTATCTGTCACATCACTGCACATGACTTGCTCCAGCAAATCCATCCATCTCTTGTACTAGACCCCCCAGAACTGGCCCCACTACTCCAGGTGTGACCTCACCAGTGCTGAACATCACTGAAGGACCATTTCCCTTAACCTGCTGGCAGTGTATTTCCTAATGCAGTCCAGGATGTCTGGGATCTGGTTATTCCGCCTCATATGCAGGATTTGCATTTTGGTTTGAACTTCATGAGTTTTTTTAAATCATTTGTCCATCCTGTCAAGGTTTCTCTGGATGCTGGCTGTTGTATCAGACATCCCTCTGAGTTTTGTGTCACCTGCAAAGCTGCTAATGGTGCACTCTGTTCAACCTGGGGGAAAAACCCAACAAACCCAACCCAAAAACATCTGAAACAACTAAGCCCAGTATGTTTTCGGTTCATGAGATTGTTAGTTACAGAAGTTTATTTACTGTGTTTCACTAGCTTCTTAGGTTTATAGAGATAAGAAAATTAATGTCTTTGTGGACAGATGATCTGTCTCCTATTCAGCATAGATATTCAGTTATGTACAGATGTTTTCCTTTTACCTTTTTTTTATGACAGAGAGGGATTGCCTCATGGACTTGCTGTATCTGGAACAAAATTTAACATTTCAAAAGTGAAATTAAAGGACTATGCTCATAAGTTCTTCTGCCACTTCATATATGGTTCTCAACAATTTACAGCCTACATCAAATTGGAATACCCATGTAAGAGATCTCTTCTTGATAAAATGATCATTGACTTGTCAGTTTTACAATGCCCTATTTAGAATTAAAGCTGTGTGATGTACTTTTATGCAAAATGGGCAGTGCATCTCAGTACCTTTCTTTGTGAATTTTTTTGTCACATTCTTAGCAAAATGAAAGAAAATAGTGCTTTTGATATGCTTTATCTTCTCTCATTCAGTATTTTGGGACTGAAAGTGAATATGAGCTCTGACTTGTTACATTATTATAATTTCTTCATAAAAATTATCAGGGTAGGATTTAACTTCAGAAATTATTTAATGCATTGACTAAAACATGCAGTTCGTGGAGGGTGTTTGTTTTAAGGACAGTAAATGAATAGGTTCACTGACAGGTCATTAAAGGGGCAGAGACAATGGAAAGCTAGTTGGTCTGGGGAGATTAGCTGGTCAGGAAATCACCTCCCCACCTTTGACTTCCTTACTTTCCAAATGATAGAATTTTGTACAGGAATTCTCATTCTACTGCTGTGCTGGGTTATATGTCAATATTTTATTTTGGTGTTTCAGCTGAAGAGTAGCCTCATTTGTCATAGTGCTGAGGTATTTTTCTGAAAGATAAAAGTAGGCTTATCAGATAACAGTAATGTCAGAAAGCATATATTAAACAGTTTGTCCTATTCTTTCATTCCTTTTAAAACAAAAATATTTTAGTGATTAAACAATTTTGAAAAATCCTTGTCTTTTCCTAGTTCTAGTTTATAGTTGTACTTTATTTGTTTTCTTTTTTATTCTATGCTGCTGCAGCTCAAAACATTCAGGGGTACTTAACTGGAGGAGGAGTTTCCTTGGTATTTTTAGTATTTTTTACTCTCTTTATCTACAAGATCTTCAAAATTGATATTGTGCTTTGGTATCGGGACTCCTGCCATGCCTTCCTGAGGAAAAAAGGTATGTTTATGTAACAGTGCTGAGTGTTGTTTTGAGCTCCCACCTTTACTTGCAAAGCAGTGAGTTGCTCTCATGGACCATGATTGGTCTTCCTTGGGGTTTTTGAAAGGATAATATTGTTTTTAGGATGTTTAGAATTAGTTCAGATGACAAAAGCATCTACAGGAGAAAAAATCAGCAACTTTCTGGGAATACAGAACTATCGTTGCTTTTCCTGAAGGCCCACCCTGGTGATTTGAATACTGCTCCAGCAGCAGTTTTTCAGATTACTTTTAATTACTGTTGTTACAGAAAGCAGAAATACATTAGAAGTGTTAAGTGTGTTTTATTTTCTGTAGATGAAACAGGGAAAATATAACTTTGTTTTGTTTTCTATTTAAAGGCACTTCTGATTATTTTACTTTCAGGAAATTTTGCTTTCCTGGCATTCAAAAAAATGTTGATAGGGGTGTTGTCTATGAGAGTATGCTGAAGTATGGGTAATTTCCAACCATCTGAGAGGAGATACTTTCTGTTTCTCTAGCCATATATATTTTGGAGGTATTGATATTCTTTTAGATTTTCTTGGAAGTCTTTTAAATTAGATCTTTCTGAAAAGTTTGATCCAAAATATCTAAAACAATTCAGATCTTGAAATTTGACACTTTGTTTTTGTTGTCATGTCTAAGTGGTTGCTGCGGTTTGAAACTCCAGGTTGCAATACCACCTATGAGTTTGATGACAAATGGAATTTTAAGTATCAGTTGTACCACTGGGTCCATTGTTTTTCAGATAATTCAGTGATGACTTTTTTTATTTAGTGTTCCATAGAGAAAGTTTCAACTTAATTTTTCAGGTCTCTTTTGACTATTCAGATTCAGCATCCCGAATTCTAGAAGGCCTGATCCTACAAATATTTCAGGCTTTGTATAACCATACATGCTTAGCTAATATAACAGGATTGGGGCCTAAAACAGTTATTCAAGTAAGGGAAAGCCCCCAGAGTTTAGAGATTTTGCTTGTTTGCTTCCTTGCTCTTGTATCTTTAGAATTTATTTTTATGGAAGTTCTATTGCTCACTCCTTAGTTTCAGATGAGAAGATCTATGATGCTTATGTTCTGTATCCAAAGAACAGAGAAAGCTGCTTGTATTCATCAGATATTTTTGCTCTGAAGATACTGCCAGAGGTCTTAGAAAGGCAGTGTGGATATAACCTCTTCATACTTGGGAGAGATGATTTACCAGGAGAAGGTAAGTTACCTGAAGACAAATTTGACTTGAGTTTTCTTGTTGACCTGGAAATAGAACTGAAAAAAAACCAGTCAGATGGGAGTCTAAATATCTCTCATTATCAAATGAACTTTTTTTTTTACAGTTGAAGGATTTTGGTAGTGGTTTGAGAAGGAAGGCTTCCCTGAGAAGTAGAATCTAAAGTGCTGCTTAAATTTTCCAGCTTGAAAAAATGCAATAGTCTGTTCTCAGGGTTTAGCCATGAGGTTTTTGTGTGATATTTGCCATATTTCACTGTTTGTGATGTAATGGACTGGAATGCCATTGATGGGGGGTGTGATTGTTTGATGCTGGTGCAATGTTAGTGCTTCTATGAAAATCTGGTTTTGTAGTGGTTTCTGTGGTGGTTTCTAGAAATAGAGCAAAGCAGGCTTTAGCTTAGGCATAAAGGAAAAAAACTTTATTAATTTACAATATCTAAAAAGGAACACACAGAACTCAGAATGAAAACTGTGTAAAACATTTTTCTCTTTCTCTCAATTTCTACTACAGCATAATGAGGTAAAACTTTAGATTTTTAATCTAGCTACTACTCCTCAGATAATCAGCTCTCAGTTCATTACTACTCTTCAGATAATCAACTCTCAGTTCATTAAGGAGAAGGAGTTTTTCTTGTACTATAGGCTTTTCTAGGAAATACAGTTGAAACTTCTTGTGTTTCTATGTTACACATGGCACTGCTTGGAGAACATTTGCTCTTGTGACTTTCTATATCTAGTGCTCTCACTACTGAGCATGGACTATAACTGCTTCTAAGGTTTTCTTTTTAAGGATGCTTTGCTCCATTTAAAAAAAAGCAATAGTCTTTCACTTTTTGGACACCAGTCCCCGCCAAAATTCACCCCTTGGGGTTGAGGGGTCTCGAGACTAGAGATCTTCTTTTTCTTTACTGAAGACAGAGGGCACTACTACACCCTCCTCATCTGTCTCTGTTTATGCACTCTTTTATATAACATCACTGCACACTTCTGGCTCTAAGCCATTGCCTCCCCCTAAATGCAGTCTCTGTGTTATAGGAAAAAATGGGTCTGTCCATGGCTATACAAGAAGAGTTTAGTTAAAGGCTACTCCATCATCTCTTCTCACCTAGAATTCTTTTCAATTTCTTCTGACATCTTTCACTTGAATGAACTTTCGTCACACTTGCCCATTTCCTTCTATTTCATCTCTATCTCCCTTCTCATTCAGATCTAGGAGGATCAGTATTTGCAAGGTTTCCATTATCTAAGAAAAGGGTTAAAATCTCGGGCTCTGCCTGCCCAGAACTCCCACGGCAGCTGGGCACCTTCTTGCTGCACCCCCCCACCCCCCATCATCTCCTTCAGCCCTGCTGCCAGCACAAGATATTAAATTTCAAGGTGGCACAGGCACATGCTCTCTCTCTCCTGGGGGGTGGTGCAGCAGGGGAAGCCTGACCTCTTTCACAGACAGGAACCAAAAGAAAGTTCTCCTGAGAGTTCTCTGCTTTTTAACCCCCTGTGTTCTCAGAAGTGTATCCATGTCTTCAGTAGTCACACCAAGTGCCAATATTCAAATCAAAGTACTGCTTAGTTTGACCACACCCTCCCAAAAAACTCACTTCCATATCAACCTAAAACAGGGGGAATCGTTTTTTTTCCTCTTCCACTTACTGGAACAAAACCAGTTAATCATATCAGAAACAGACTGTTTAAGGTAAAAAGCTCCTGTGGTTCTGCAACTTGCGTTTTTTTTTTGCATTTGTACCTATGATGGTAACAAAATGGCATTAGCAAGATAAGTAGTAGATAGTTGGTAGCTCTTCTCTGTTTCTGCAAAACAAGGATATAGACATAGACTCTGATGGGGTCAGATTGTGTTGCATTGGCCAGATTTCTGTCGTAGGCTAACCCTAGGTAACTACTTACATCCTTATATCCTCTCCCTGTTTTGATGTCACGTGTGACGGCTTAAATATCAAACAGTTGATGAACTAGCTGCAGAATACTGGTAAGAGAAAACAGAAATCCAACCTTAATTTTGCACAACCTTTTCTCTACAGCTGTGATCAGCGTTGCTGATGAAAAAATCCGTCAAAGTAGGAGAGTGATAATTGTTTTAGTACCAGAGCCCTCCTGTTACAGCATTCTGGAAGATGAGTCTGAAAAGCAGCTAGCCATGCATAGTGCTCTTATCCAAGATGGCATTAAAGTAATTCTCATTGAACTTGAAAAAATACAAGATTATGCAACCATGCCAGAATCCATCAGATATATTAAGCAAAAGCATGGGGTTATCCGATGGAAAGGGGACTTTTCAGAAAGGTCCCACTCAGCAAGAACCAGATTCTGGAAGAAAGTGCGCTACCAGATGCCATCCAGAAAAAGTGGCTCTTTATCACAATTGCATTTGTTATCAAAAGACTTGAATAACAAATGAGAAATGACACTTAATGACAGATTCAGTTCACACAGATGGATTGACTGAAGGTCCCATGTATCTGTTTTGTGCAATCTCATCCAGATTTACTGGAGTGGAGGTACTACAGTTTCATCTCCAGATGTGAATCTTTTTTACTTCTGGCTGGATCAACAGAACACCATGAAATATCATCAGTAGCACATGTAGAAAGTACACAAGTACTTTTCCAAGAATGATTCTGTGAAATTCCCTTGTATTAAAAATGAAAGGACAGAAAATTGTGAAAAACTTAAAGCCAATGAAGAAAATTTGATTTTCTTTTCTGCAATTAAAGTTTCAATATGAAGGGAATTACACTAATTATTGTTGTAATACTACATAATGTGCATGGCTGGTGCCAGTAAATGTCTGTTTCTTTTTTTTTGAATGAAATGACACAAACCTTTTCTTTGTTACAAGTTTGTTATTTGCCTTGTTCAATTTACGGAAAGATAAATCCTCATGTTACTGCATCAGTGTGTTATCATCCAGGAGAATTCACAGAATTCACATCCGGGAGTAAAGGTAAGAGACAATTCCAGCTCTCTAAAAGTGCTGTTGAACCTGACAAAGCTTAAATACTCTTCCTTGATCTTTTTTACATTTGAAAGATCAATGCCAATTTTAGTCACTTGTCACATGCAGTTATTGTAAAAATACCTCTGTAATCTGTATCAAGTAAAAAAATGAATCTCCAGAGAACTTTTTCTTTCCAGTTAAATGGCTCAATATATTTATTTACCCAAGTGGAGCAATTGGCTAATGACACAGAGTCTGTCATGGGAGGTAAAGGATTATTGTCTTCATCCACCTTACCTTAAGGACCATGTCACAGGGCAGGGAGAGAGCGAGAGATGCCCCTGTGTTACCCCCTGCAGCTGCTTGCTTTTCTCCTTTCCCTCTGCTCTGATACGTAAGGAATCTGAGATGATTGTGTGCTGGAGGCTGCAGTCACAGCTTTCCAAACAAAAGGGAAAGGAAGTTGTGTAAAATGTTGAATCCTTTCTCTTTCATTTTAAAATATTTTAATAGTATTTTGTATACCCCAAGTGTTAACTCTAAAATTATGTTTGACTTGTAGGCAGTGATGTAGTTTGCGATGATCAATTCTTTTTTTGGGGCAGGGAATTGTTTTGAATGATTAGAAAAATTGATCAGATCTCTTTAATGCTATGTTTATAGCTATTCATTTTATAGAAACAGGAGATGAGAGCCAAGTTTCCCATGTAATTTCAGTCTGTCCTTGAACGTTACACTTTTAGGCTGTGAGATCTTGCTGTATAGGGAAGCCTCAGGAATTGACTGTTACTGCTGCTTGCAACTCTGAATTTCTGTGTCCTGTCAGCTTCTTTCTTGCAGCACCTTTTGCTCTTCTACCATTCAAACTCCAACCTATATTTCCTCTTGCAGCTCCTGTATCTTGCAACAAACATCTTGCTTTTGTGTCAAACTCCATCACTTTCCAAGCTCTGATTGAAGGCTCTTGCAAATTAGGCAGAAATTTTCCCTCTGGAATCTCCACTTGTTTGTCTTGAAAAAAATTATGTTCTGCAACCTTCAGAATCCATCTATTCATTTACACACTGCAATGTTGGCTTTTCTTCTTTCATGGCTCAAGCAATTTTCTTATGCCTCCATACTCAACCAAACAAAACTGTTCTGGCTGATAAGTGACAGAACCAGTGCAAGTAAGTTCTTTTCCCAACTAAATTAAGTGTGTGCTGGAAACTAGAAACAGTGCTTTTGAGAGACAGTACCTTCTGAGCTTTGTGAGTTATGTGTGTGTTTGGCCAGAATGGAATAAGAATCTTTTCATTTCAGGAGGAAGGGGGGAAAGTGCATTTGAAATGTCAGACTAATTCAAACTGCCATGGTACTGAAGTGTTTTATTGATCAATGTCATGTATGTACACACCTATGCAGATGCACATAGTCTTTTCTCATTCTGTGTTTTAGTTACAAGAGAACTGTCAAGGGATGATCAGTCCTAATAATGGAATGCCACATTTACTTAGCTGTTCATGCTGTCTGCCTTTAAATATGGTGTGTGTTCAGTGGCAGCCTGTTGTAGGGTAAAAGAGCCTTGAGATCCATCTGAAGTTACCCTAAACCATCTGAACGAGTCTAATTGTTACGGTTCACATTACGGTTCTTTGATAGAAGAATCAAATAGTACAGAAGCTGTATGGTTTGGTCACAAAACTCTTTAAGATCTCTCTATCAAATGTGAAGACCAGACACTGGCATTATGGTATTTGTACTCTGAGAACTGGGGTGTAACACTGATTTTGTGCTTTCACCTTGACAGCTCACAGTATGCAGGCCAGCCAACAGAGTTCCAGTGACCTCAATCCTCCTAATTACTTCTGCTGACTGGAACAGATTGAAAGGAGAACTGCTACTTGTTATCCCTAACTTTAGGAATGGAAGGTTATTTTACTGAGCCAAAATAGTGTTTTTAAAAAATATTTGTTCCTTTTGATATATTTATATAAATAATGCCAAAGTTTTCATGTGTGTTATGTAAAGGCACTTTGAGGAAGAGTCCATTTTAAAATTTAATAAAGGCACTACATATTTTTTCATATGCACTGCTGTGTCTTTTGCCCTCTTTCTCCTAAAGCATACTGAGAATGGACAATGGCAAGCAGAGGTTGTGACTCAGTGGCTTAACAAGACTGCTATGACAGATCTTTGTTCAGGCTGCTGCCAGTCAGTCTGGCTGTGGTACAACACTAACACAAACCACCTCACCCTGCCTGGGCAAACTGAGGCTGTGAGCTTGGCTCTGCTCTCTCTGGTACTCTCCTTGCAGCAAGGTGAAGCTAGAGCAGCCCCAAGGCTGCTGCATTGCTCTCTGGGACCAGCATGGTCCTCAACAGTGCCATACTGAGCAGCCTTTTGCTGCAGCTCCTCAGGAGCTGGAGAAATGCAGGAGACCTCAATTGGGGGAAATGTCAATTGCTTCTCAGCAGCAGTGGAGAGGCAGCCTTCTCTGCTCAGCCCCTGGGGCAGTGGTTGCTCTCTGAGAGTTGGGATTGTTCAGCCTGGAAAAGAGAAAACTTTGGGGAGGACAAATAGTGGCCTTCCGGGGCCTGAAAGGAACTTAAACAAAAGATGGGGCAAGACTTTACAAGTGCATGTAGTGACAAGACAAGGGGGAGTGGCTTAAAAGAGTGTAGGTTTACATCAGATATCAGGAAAAAATTCTTTACCCTGAGGGTGGTGAGGGACTGGAATAGATTTCCTGGAGAAGCTGTGGCTGCTCCATCCCTGGAGGTGTTCAAGGCCAGGTTAGGTAGAGCTTTGAGCAACCTGGTGTAATTGATGGTATCCCTTCCTGTGGCAGGGGCTTTGGAGCTAGACAATCTTGAAGATCCCCTTGCAGCCCAACTGTCTCTATGATTCTGAGTCTGAGTAGCCTGGCCGACTTGTCCTTGCCTCCCAACCTGAGTCTCACACAGGCTCATGCTGATTGCAGTGGCTCCAGTGCATAGATATGGGGCAGTGAAGAGGGGAATGCTGTGCTCCTTCTGCACCTGCCTCTTCTGCTGAGTGGTTTCACTGCAGGATTCAGGTTTTCAGCAGGTATGAGTGATTTGTCCCAAGTTATACCTCATCTTTTTTTTTTTCCCCTTTTGCCTGAAGTTTCTTACATGATAGAAAAAAAAAAAGTGAAACCAGGAAAATGAAGATGTGAAAGGGAGGGGAGGATGGAGGCAATGGTAATTATTCCTTTTTAGAATATCGCTTGTTTTGTGTTAGTACATCAGACAGCAGGGAATTTGTTTTTAAATGCAATGCACTTCCCTAACCTTGTGCACTGACTTCACTGATGAAATAGTATTTAGGAAATAAGGATAAAATAATGTAAATGTGACACACCAATATGCTTACTCAATGGTTTTGTCTTCATTATGTGACAAGCTGTAACAAAATATGTTTAAATGTATTAGCACTTAGAAATACTGCTGGCTTTTATTATAATATTATTTATTATTATAACTGACAAGCTTGAATATTGTGTGTCTTATCAGTAGTGTTTCAGAGATGAGAAAGAATGCATTGCTCATTCACTGATGCAGGGTGTAAGACATTAATCTGACTGACTCTACCTAATTTTTAATTATTGGATTTATTTTATTATGTTTAGACAAAAGGGGAAATGAATAGTCATATGACCTTTTTTATAAACAGTGTAACAAAAATATTTTTAATTCTCTAAATGTATTGTGATTAAATTGAAACTATATTGTGGCAGTACATATATCCATTTTCTTTTCAGCTTCTACTTAAATAGTAAATGCATCCTACTGTAAAAAAGCAAAGGTGTTGTTTACATAAGAGAGACTTTTTATATCAAGCTTTTGTATTTTTTGGTTGTTTAAATATGCTAGGTTATTTTCTCTGTCCTTCTTCAATTTCTAAATTGCATTTGAAAAGGACACCTTAATTTTTGTCCATATAAACACACAAATGTAGGTGATAAAGTGATAGTTGTCTCGGCTAGAATGGCTCTAGAAGCAAAGGTGGCTCAGTGCATCTGAGGAGCATCACTGAGCCCCAGAAACTTTCCCTCACAGCACTTTGTCTTGATGGACTGCTCCAGCTCTGCAGGGCTTGTAGCAGGCTTCTCAGCACCTCATGGGAAAGACCAGCAGTTAGCTATGATACGCAAAGTGGAAAAAACCCCCAGTTTTCAGAGATGTTTTGTGTAAAGGATTGCTATTGTTACCAGCAAAATTACTTTCTGCATTCCTGAATGAGTGTTATAGATTTTGAATTGTTATTTCTATTGTCTATGTTTTAATAATTAATTGTTGTTGCATGTAGACATTTAATCTGCCTAAAGACAAAGGGTTTCTTCATTTCTGAGGGGATCTTGTTCTGACTGACTGTGGGTCCCAAGAGGGCAGTCCTGGGCCACCTTCTCTGAGGTAGCTGATGCTTGGGATACCTTTGTGCTAAATTGTGGTGAACAAAAGGCAATCAGCCTTCAGGCAACAACGGTTTAAACTTTATGGTAGGCTGGATGGTCTGTAGCAGCCACTTCAACATTTTTGAACAACATGTAGCAGCAGTGGTTTTTGAACAGCTTGTGGATTAAGCTTTTCTGGACAACATGTGGCAACAACAAATTAAACTTTTAGGAAGAGGAAAAAAGAAAGAAGGAAAGATAGGGAAATAGAGAAGAAAAGATCTGGGTCACCACCCAGAGTTCCAGCATTGTCTCTGGTCTAGTTCCTGTGGATGGTGAGTGCAGGGACGATGGTTTCACACCCTGCCCCTCTCTGTTTTGCTACTTATAAACCAGTCCTTGCCCATGTGCATTTTGTTATTCTTGAACTTTTCAGAAGGAGACTGGGGGATCTTGTGGTTTCAAATCCCTTCCCCTGACAGATAGAAGTCCACTGCTTTGTCAAACTTGTTTTTAGAAATAGTTCCCCAAGATAAGCAAGTTGACCCCAGAAAAGCACTCTCCTGCCTCTGCAAGACCCTCTTTTTTTAACTGCACCTTATCTAGATGGCATGGTAACATTCATTTTATCTTCTGCCAAATGTTTGAGATGTTAACTCTTTCAGGTTTCCAGTTTCTCACACTGATATGACTGAAAAAGGAAAGGAAGGAATTTCTTAATGAAAATCCTATATGGTTGCTTGGGAAAACATTATTTGCATAGAAGTTACTAGTCAGTCTTCAGTCTTGTGTGAAAAAGTGATACAATTCCATGGATTTTTCTGTAATTTCTTTCTCTATATCCAAAAGTTTGATGTGATGATTCTCTGGAATTCAATATTCAGGAGGAATATTTAATTGAAACACCCAAGAAAATGGTTTTCTTCAATTATAGTAATCCTTTCTAAAATATCAAGTTGTAATAGAATTACTAACACTTTTAAAATAGTTTTGTGTTTAGAAGCACATTCACTTTCAAATTCAGAGCCCAGGAACCCAGACATTACTCAGCTGCTCTTTAGCTGGTTCTTGTTGCAGATGTGTGGACCCCATGCTATAGTCTATGGACTACAGGTCTGGTCGTATTCAGAACAGACAGCTGGATTAATGAATAACAGGATTTATTGGCTGCAACAACTATGGTTCTTTTGGATTGCCAGTGATAAAGGCACTAACTGTAGAATAGCTGTATACAGCATTAACAATATGATTGCAATCACAAGCTGAATATCCCAGGTCAACACTCAGCATAGCTGAGGACACAAGACTTACCAAAAGGTACCCCTTCTGGGGAGGACAAGGAGGACAAACCGATCAACCAGTCCCTGCAATTTTGTGTCAAATTCTCATTCCCCCACTTAGATATGAAATTGGGGTACATTTTATATGTTACTAACCACTATTTTGCGAAGTGCTCTGAGTGGGGCTGCAGTCAAACCTTGCATTTTTTGTTGTTGCATTGTACAGAATATTTCTCCACAGGACGTGTACTTGGTTTGTACAAAATATTCCAGGGTATCAGGTAGAAGGGTGAGATCCTGTGGCTTCCACCTCACTCCACATTCATCCCCCGTGACAAATTACAAGACCTCCATTTGGTTTCCATGACTACATTGTGGGTCCTCTGACACACTGAGCTTTGCATTATCCAACAGCGCTCTTGCCACCAGCTACTCTTTTCTAGTCAAATGATGTTGGTTATGAGTGGAAAGTGAAAATCTGAGGTGAAAATCACCATCCCAGAATTTATCCCACACTTATCAGTTCTTGGATGGCAAGTGTGGTGAGTAGCAAGCAGGTTGCAGTACGCAGTGATTCGTAAGGCTGTGAATGTGGGAAGTTTGGGTGTCCTCCTAGTACTGCATCACACCTTCACTGCCTCAAGGGTGGAAGGAAAGTTCAGGCAGGCAAGTCTTCTGAGATGAGCAGAACCATAAATAAAACTTTTGAACACTATCTATGATTCCAGTATTACAGGATGTTTTAGTTCTTCGGTGCTCTTGAGCCTAGCTGCCCAGCACAGCTGTATCCTCACTCCACACTGGGATGTATGTGGATTCAAACCACCTCTTTGGCTTTCTGTGGAAGAAAACCCAGTCTCCAGCCAGAAGGGGGTCATGAGCATGCTCTGTAGCAGAGCCCCAGCATGCAAATGGTCAGTGCTTTGAGAGGCTGAAATGTTATCAGAAGTTCCAGTGCAAACCCTTGATTAAAACTGAGTTAAGGTTGACAGCCTTCATTTCCCATTTCACAAAGACCCAGTCTGTCAGAGGCTGCTACTTCATTTTTCATTCCCTCTTTTCAACTCTTGCTTGATTCACCCAGGAACCCTTGGTGTTGTTCCTTTCCTGAGGAATCTGTTCTGCCTAGACTACCAGAGTAAATCAAAATATTGTTACAGTTTTAGTGTTTCAGATTTTTTTCAACAAAACACTGCTATGACTACAAACTGAACCATTAATAACAGAAACCAGCTGTTTGTAAAAATCTTCCCTAATGTTAAGAAATGTTTTCAGTTGGATTTTTTTCATGCAACTAAAAAAGGCCCCAGGGAGTTACAGAAGTTTTGATGCCATAATAGTACCATGTTGGTCCTAAGAATAGATAATTATTCAAACAGT